TGATCATTTTTTCTTGAAAGACAATAATCTTGTTATTTACTGAGGAAGTCAATTTTCACGATTTTCTTTAGAAAACAAGATGCGTCTAATATTCATAGAGTTGCAAAAAGCACCAGCAATTACATATACTCAGTACAACCTCATCGTTACTTCACCACTGAGTAACCTTACCACAGCGCGCAAACTCAGAATGTATGTTTGCCATACAACAGAATTTCTGCTATTAACTTCGGTCAAATGTCACAGACGCACTGCCGGTGCTGGAACCAAGGACCCTGTTGGATTCGAGTTATCGATCCTCATTGGTTCCTCACTAATGAACCTTGAACCAAGGACCCAATTAGATATCCCTTTTCAAGGAACAACCATCGATATATAGGGGATATCTGACATTCTTTTTCAAACCACGAAGTTTCCGTCATGACGATCAGCCTTCGAACCAAAGACGCCATTTGATACCCCTTTTCAAAACACTAACGACAGACCTCGACTCACGAAGTTTCCGTCCAGACGACCGACCATCGAAACATGAAGTCCCTGTGTCCAGCATCGTAGAAAGTCACGGAAACCAAACTGTAGATTTAAGCATATCTGTCTCCGATATGAACTCGAACCAGGATTATTTTTGGGCTATTAAGTTCTGATTAAAACCTATAACTCTCAGATCTGGAATCAACAACCCATTTGGTCATCTATTGTCGAACTTCGCCGAGGACGTTCTGTCGATCCAAATCTTTATCATCGACCACTTTTCGTGACCATTAAGTGAGTGAGTGAGTGAGTTTAGCTTTACGCCGCAATGAGCAATATTCCAGCTATATGGCGGCGGTCTGTAAATAATCGAATCTGGACCAGACAATCCAGTGATCAACAGCATGAGCATCGACCTGCGCAATTGGGAACCGACGACATGTGTCAACCAAGCCAGCGAGCCAGACCACCCGATCCCGTTAGTCGCCTCTTACGACAAGCATGGGTTACTGAAGGTTCACTCTTGGATCCACCACATGGTGCAGTTGTAGTTAAACCTATACCAATCCAAACAAATGTGCAAGGATCGAAAAGCCTCCCTTTGTATCAATTATCAACTATTTTATTGATTTCTCAATGTTTAACTCATTCCTTAATCCATCGATTGACTCGATTCACTATTTAACCTACGCACTTATGTTAGGTAATCCTTGGTTATATAACGGTAACGCATGCTGAGTGAGTGAGTGAGTGTGTGAGAGAGAGTGAGTGAGTGAGTGAGTGAGTGAGTGAGTGAGTGAGTGAGCGAGTGAGCGAGTAACTGAGTGACATCACGGCATGTCAGCTTAATTTGCGATGACGCACGAAACATGTTGATCCTAAACTTTGGTGCAATCCACGAACGCGGGGAGTTACTAACAAACCAAACATCACAAGAAAGGCCAACCAAAATCGAACCAAAGATCAGCAAATTCTGCCATGACATAGGGAAGCAAACCTGTACACCAATAATATTCGTCAAGTTAAGATATTCGAAGGCAAATGTTTCAATGTAACGTCAAACCATTCTTGTTCATGTACACGGTAGCACAGTGACCGTCACAACACAGTTCTAAAACTACTTCCCTACAATGCCGCATAATGTCTCCTCTGAGTAATTGATTGCACAGAACTAGGTACTTCCAACTAACTAATTGCATTTCTTGTACAATATTTCAAATATATCATAACACATTACTATGGTATATCCAGTTATTCTCCTGAAATACAGATGATTGATTTTCTTCTTTCATATACTCGACAAAGCTAATTGATGCCACAAAGCGATTCCCAGTGTTCATTATAAACTATAATGTGTTCCTGTAGGGCAAATACCATTCCTAAGTCTCGTACTAAACGTTTATTGCTCAGCAATGTCCGTATTGCTATGGCAACCATCGTATTTACGTATTCCATAACAGAACCCTACACAAACCTTGTTGCTCACCTAGAATATTTTCATTTCCAGAGCATTTTATTTACCGAATATTATAACTAATTGACATTTTTAATATTTTATATTGCATTCCCGGCATGGTTTCTTACCCACGCCGTAATATATCTGGAATATTGTCGGCGGCGTTAAACTAAATTCACTCACTCACTCATTCACTTGTCCGTTTTTGGTCAGCATTATCGTAGTCAACAGTGTAGTTATATTGTGAGTGAGTGAGTTGAGCTTTACGCCGCTTTTAGCGATGTTCCAGCAATATCATGACGGGGGACACCAGAAATGGGCTTCACACATTGTAGCCATGTGGGGAATCGAACCCGGGTCTTCGGTGTGACGAGCGAACGCTTTAACCACTGAGCTACCCCACCGCCCCAGTTATATTGTGAGATACCTACGCCAGCTGGCTTTGTTCGGCGTCGAACCCAGAACTTCTGCGTGATGGACGAACGGTTGAGCCACTAAGCTAGCCAAGCTCCGAATTATGGGGATTAAAGCATAAAATTGTTCAGCAGTAATGTAATGGTTAAGTTGCAAACTTATCTACTGAAGTATGATGCATTTTAAATAAAAATATTCACTGGTATATATTCATACATTTTGTTTTCTATACATCGATTTATGATTAATAATGAATAGACAGTTGACAAATCGGATGGTCGACGGTTTTCCGGCGAAGATGTTTTCGTTTGTTCGTGAACGTCATATAATCTTGTAACAGAATGCTGTTGTATAAGAAGAAAATTGTTACTCTTTGATTTTCATTAACAATACTATTTAAAAAAAAACATTTAACAATTTTCAAACCCTATTTCTGAGATCTTTTTCCATCTTCATCTGTTCTTTTAAGTTAAACTTTTAACACAGTACACAAGTTTTTAAAGTCATAACGAGTGAGCAAGTGAATTTGGTTTTACGCGGTTTTTAGCAATATTCCCGCGGGGGACACTAGAAATGGGCTTCACACATTGTACCTCTGTGGAGAATCGAACCCGAGTCTTCGGCGTGAAGAGCGAACGCTTTTACCCCTAGGCTACCCCACCACTCCAAAGGTTATAAGGAAAAATAAAGAGGGACGAATGTTATTATCCAAATCTTAAGTCAGTAGCTTCAAACTGTCCTTCGTGAATCTAGACCCGCTATCAGTTCCCCATATGGGTAACATTGTAGCATGTGAAGCCATTGTGGGTATCACCCGCTACGAATTGTTGGTAAGTAATGCTAATGAAGAGTGACCTATCCACACACTCCTACAACCTTAGTTTCAAGTTACGTGGCCGACTCTTTCTAACAGACTTAATTAATATCCGATCTTCCACTTTCACCACTACGGTATCGAGTTGTACGTGGAAAACACACACGATGAGGTTTATGGAAACACTTCGCTACGATTCTAATTCCCCAGTAAATTGTACACTTAGATGCATGGCTGTGATTTAAAGTGTGCTGGGAAGCAATCAAGGGGAATTCCTGGCCACTGCCGACTTTCACTTCCGGAGAGTTCTGGTGTCGGCAGTGTTGCACTAGCACTTCCACGAAACTGATAATTAGGACCCGGATTTGAACAGCGGTTTCCAACACTATTAAAAAAAGCTTAATCCGGATTTTTTATCTGAAAATTCAAATGTTAAAGCCTTGAATCCCCGCAAGAAATACGTGACTTTTTAAAGCGCATGCTTAATAACACCTTAGAAATACTAACATAGAATCAACTATCTCTTTCGACTTGTTTGCTGTAGGGATTTGCTGTTGTTTCCTCTGGGTAGTACTCAGCGTATCAATGAGAACACAGAATTGACGTTTAATTGTACTGCTGTTTTGACGCCTACGGGACAAATGACACAACCTTAATAGTGATACTGGGAGATGAGTGAGTTTAGTTTTACACCGCTTGTAGCAATATTACAGCAATATCACGGCGGGAGACAACAGAAATAGGCTTCACACATTGTACACATGTGGGGAATCGAACCCGGTTCTTCAGCCTGACTACCGAACGCTTCAATCACAAGGCTACCGTACCGCCCCTCCTTAAAAGAGTAGAACATGTGTCTGTGTGTACTCATGCTATATGTTGAGACGACACGTACAAAATCATTACTGTAGATCACGACCATATACATGCATGCATTTGAAAAGAGACGATTGGTATAAGCTTTCGTTTCTGATACTGGCGATAGGGACAGAACCCTTGTCACCACGAGCATACACATACAGGCATAGAAATGATATTATCTCTTTCTCTTTCAATCTGAGATAACGCTGTATGTCCATTAAACCTTCAACATAATAACACTGACTTGTTTAACAGACAGGAACATGTCCACTGATGTCATGGTGGCTACAGGGCTCGTCACACTTCTGCAAACCACGATGTAAAAGTATAAAAGTCTATAGACGCGCATATAATATCTATTGATCCTCATAATATTTAACAGCCATTTAACAAACGTGTGTCACAAACCTCGTCGTGTTTCAGTTTACCAAGCGACATGCGTTGCTCGACATACTTCAACGAATCACTATGGAGAAAGTAATTAACGTGCTGAGAATTTTCTGTGAAACAGTCAGCATTGTGGGACTAGCGACAGTCAATTAATATGTTACCGTAAATGTTCTTACAAAGTTTGGTAATGTGCAATTCACCTGGATGGCATTGACATATGAAAGCGATATTTCACATATTTGAATCCTTCCTTTCGGCATTGACTTGAGCAATATACCCATGCCTTATTTCGCTTCCAACGGGAACAGTAAGGTCATACATATTTGTGTGATAACACTTATGAATGCCAAGCGAAGAAAGTATAGTGTATGCACAAGGAATATGATTTATGATTCTGACAAAAGTCTGAAACAAGCGTAAATGACATCTCAAACAAAAATAGCTGTTTTCACCAACCGTGCTGAAGATTAGCAATCCATCGTTTTGCCATACAAATGTTTGTAAGCGCGTTTATATCTGAAACGTATGTTTACCAATAAGCTTAGCAAGCTGATAGAGTCAGGTGATTGCCAACATGAGTAATTTCCATAGAGATATCATAAAAATAGAATTTATTAAATATCAGCAAAGATTCGTTTAATATTGCATTAAAACAGTCATGAAAGTATATAGTCAGTCAGACAGCGAATTACTCACACGTTTACGTTATTCTGTTAATCTTAATATTTTTTAACATTACCATTTAACTTACAATAAAGTGTTTTGATATTGATAAGCTTATTTTATACGTATTCGCTGTACATACATGACATCTGAGAATCCAAAGTTTATGAAGTTGATAGATTGCAACTCTCACATACCACAAGCACACAGTACCTCAGTGAAATAGAACTGTTCACATAGATCCTCAATAATCTCTATAGAAAGTAAACATTCCTAGCAGGTTGGGAATTGTATTTGCTTATAGTCATCCATCGGGACCACCCTTGGTTCCATTCTTTCAACAGTCTGTTAGTCAATGCCGTTTACCTTGAACCCCTCACGTCACCAGTAGTCTCTCGTGCAGTCCGCCTTCCACAGGCTCTGTCTAGGCGCCTAGCCTATGAATTCCCTTACGCGTTTGTTGTAGCCGTTGCCGATGCTGTCGTCGAAGCTGAGGAGGCTACGTTTCCCTATGAACTCACGCACCCTCTTCCTGACGTCTCGTTTCCTCTTTGTTGCCGCCGGGGAAGGCATGACCGAACGCTTGCCGAAGAACTCCCTTAGACGTTTCTGTTCCTCTATTACGTTCCGTTTTCCAAAGAATTCGCGTAGTCGTTTCTCTTCCATGGGGCCACCTCGTTTCCCGAAAAACTCTCTGAGACGCTTGTCATCAACGTGTCCGTCCCGTTTGCCGAAGAACTCTCGGAGCCGTTTCTGTTCTTCTGGACCATTTCGTTTTCCAAAGAATTCACGAAGACGTTTTTCCTGTTCGGGTTGGTCGGACCTTTTGCCAAAGAACTCTCTCAAACGTTTGTCAGCTTCGAGTCCATTTCGTTTGCCGAAGAATTCACGTAATCTTTTGTCCGCTGTTACGTCACTTCTTTTGCCAAAGAATTCACGAAGACGCTTATCGGCACTTAGATCGCTCCTTTTGCCAAAGAATTCCCTCAGTCTCTTATCGGCACTTAGATCGCCACTCCGTTTTCCAAAGAATTCCCGAAGCCTTTTATCAGCACTTGGGTCGCTTCGTTTACCAAAGAATTCCCTTAAACGTTTGTCCTCCCTTTTACCAAAGAAGTCCCTGACTCTCTTGTCGTATGTTCCATAATCCTGTCCAGTACCTTCAGCTGAGTCCGCTAAACTTAAATCTCTCTTGCCAAAGAACTCCCTGAGTCGTTTATCGGGTGTGTCCCCCACGTCCCTACGATCCCGGTCTGCCTGTCCCTCGGACACGACAAGCAGGGTTAGTCCGGCCACAAGAAGCTGAAAGGGCGGCATGGTGGTTCACCGCGCGGGACACAAAATGAGGATACTAGAGAACGCGCGCGCGCCTTTTAAAGCCAGCTCGTGTTCTCTCAGCCCTCCCTCGCAGCCAAACAGCGCCAGCTAACACATCTTCATTATAATCATTGAACAATTTGCCGATTTAGGCTCAAATTTATGTGTATGATTAATTTAGCTCTATTAGCGCGACAGAAGGCTGGATACAGAAATCAATGAACAATCACTCGTCAGAGAGTGTCATAGCGAAAGCACTGCGACAGACAGAGCAGGGGTGGTACAGCAAGATGACTCTACATTTCTTCTCGGAGGATCAATAATAAAGTTTGTTGTATACGCGAAAGACGGCCCAACCCACGCATCCGCCAACAAGAGGTGTGGCTTGTTGATTGACAGGACGGAGGGGGCGGGATAGTGACTGGCACGAGGGGTGACCGTAAATAGTGCTTATCTTAGGCCAGCGATCACTTCAACGTGATTCTACTTATTAAACGCAGGTCTGTGATCAGCGTTAGCAGCGACGTCTCGGAACGTCTCCAAACCTCCCGTCTCCTTGTAATGAAGCTGCTGTCCTCACTGTTTATTTAGTGAAATTGACTTTCGAAACCTAGGTCTCAAATGTGCTTAAAACCTAGGATCTTAAAGCATTTCTTTCTTCTAGGAATGTATTTGTTTTAGTTCGTGAAAAATCAATTTCGGCTCGGGCAGTCTGTGTTATTCAGTATGTTTAATGTGTCTATGTAACGTGAAACCAAAATGCCGTGTTTTCTCTTTGGAATATCCCCACGATGCCCTAAAGGACAAAGCGCATCCTGATCTGTAAGTTACGCAACACGAATCCACATTTGATTTGACGTTGTTATAGATTAAATATGCACACAAGATTGTACATGTTCGAAATTTCACCATAAAAAAATATTTAACTATATCTTTAAATTATTGATCATTTCTTATCTAAAGAAGGAACCTGAGTGTAATAAGCATTAAAAGTATCTTTTCTATTTCTAAAACAGAAACAATTTTTTGTCAAAAGCTAGTATTTGGCATGACTACTTTATGTCACTTATGAGCCTCGCGTGGACACATTCCAAACGACACGTGTCTTCATAGTTTTATTATTACTGCAAAATTACCCTGCATGTCACGTAAAACAATGACGTAAACTGTCATCATTACATGCGTTCCATTAATAATTTTTCAAATATTCTTTTCATCGTGACGATGATGTGTTATTTTTGAAAATGTATAATATCAAATCCAATCATCTTAACTGTAGTCTCCGTGTCTCCGAAAGCAATAGCTGAACAAAATGCTTTTATAACTATAAATGACAATCTCCTTGAACGCAGAGATCTTAAACAGATTACGCCGATAGAGAAGAAGGCAAAGTTAATTATTTCCATTTTCACAGGAAGAACATCAATGTCAAAGTGTGACAGGGAACATGGATGCAACATATTTCAGCATATGAAAGCTTGTGTTATCAACACGATAAACCAGTATCGTAACCTTGGTACTATGCTCCAACATATACGCAGTATAGAAAAACTCTCAAAATCTATATATCAATGCGATGATTTATTTATAAATTATTGACTAAAATTACCAATATGCTTAGACTTGGCTTTTCAAGGGTGAAGCATGGCGACAAGCCTAGTTGTCAGACATTTGGAATAATATGATACTTTGACCGGTACGCACAAAATTGTATTCATTTTTTCATTAATTCATTAACTTGTAAAGGTTCTTGAGAGTCATGTAGAAGTTGGTATTCAAGTATAAGACAAAATATCTTGGATGTCAAGTTCTTTATTGTATACACAACGATTCAAGGCTTTTCCTTGCCACTTCGTCAGGTAATTTCTAAAGATTCCTCATTGAGTAAAAGTTCGTATTAAAGATAATAATAAGTGTATTTAAGAAACATATGCTATTTTGAAAATTACCCCATGTGATAAAGCGATTATTGCCATCGTTTGTTTGCGTGTCCGAACTATCACATCTAAGGAAGACGAGCACAGGGTGAACAGAAACATGGTAACACATGGCGAGCATTGTTTCGTGTCAACGAGCGTTCCCACGATTTTTGTCTCAATCTGCTGATGGGAGACTGACGTGTTGTTGATGAATCAAGTGTAAAATATTTTAATTTATTTTAACATTAAAGTCACGCAACGCGAGTATTAAAACGATGTTGTTAAATATTGTCGCATAATTTTGTGCAGCACAAATTTACACTTATCTTTACATATCAACAACTACGGACATCAATTGATTACAAAATATAAGTAATTCGTTTTTGACAGTTATCTTTGTATCTAAAATCTCTGTTTTGATAAATACATATCGTGAAACGTGGTATTCAGTGAATATTAAATGGAGTGAGTGAGTGAATATGGATGGACGCCGCTTTTACAATACGAAACACTGAACCCATGTGGAGAATAAAAACCGGATTTCAAGCTACCCCAAAGTTCCTGTTGATGACATGGGTTGTTTATAAGATCTTTGTGAGTGTGTGAGTTTTAGCAATATTCCGGCAATATCACGGAGAGGGACGCCAGAAATGGGCTTCTCACATTGTACTCATGTGAAGAATCGAAACCAGATCTTCAGTGTGGCGAGCGAGCGCTTTATCCACCGTCGACTCTGGTAGTAAGAATTGGATGATAATGAGACAATCCTACACTCAGATTTTATCAGTCCACTCCAGACATACAGTGATAATGTGACGATTGGTTCCCGATTCAATCAACACTGCAATCGATGGGTGTATCCATCCCACAATGGCCACTGCACCCTCGCAGACAAATATAAGTCGCTGCCATAATTACGATATAGTTTTCACATTTCCTTTTTTAGTGTGCGAGGAGGATGTTTCTGTCCAATAATGGTCATCAGGTGTGGTGCGCGGCACGTAACTGCCAATACAAGAGCTGAAACCCATCTTTCACAACCGGATATCTGTTTCTGAATAATACGTGGGTACCGCTGTGGGACGAGGAGGGGACATGTTGTAATATGTTGTAACATGCTGTAATATGCGGGCATTACGGCCGATGGCTGACACACGTATTTCCCAAGGCTGCAGCATGACTTTTCAGTTATAGATTTTTTCTGATATTTCACTCAAGCCTAATGTTACGTTCAAGCATTTTCCTGAGATACTGAATGTCGCGTTCAGATATGTTCCTCTCTCACGTTCAGGCACATTCATGCCAACGTTCTTACAAATTCTTCTTCTGCATATTGCTACAGTAAAATACCTCTCCTGCATAGAGTTGTTTCAGAAACGTTAGTTTCCAGCACAGTGTAATTTCAGACACGTAGTCTCCTGCAGAGTGTTATTTCAGACACGTAGTCTTCTGCAGAGTGTTATTTCAGACACGTTAGTTTCCTGCAGATTGTTAATTCAGACACGCTGGTTTCCTGCATAGTGTTATTTCAGACACATTCCAGTTCTGCATAGTTGGGGTTTTTTTCAGACACGTTAGTTGCTTGATTGGTGTTATTTCAGACACCTCAGTCTCCTGCAGACCGTTATTTCAGACACGTTAGTTTATTGCATTGTGTTATTTCAGATACGTTAATTTCCTGCAGCGTGTTATTTCAGAAACCCCAGTCTCCTGTAAAGTGTTACTTCAGACACATTCATCTCAAGCAGAGTGTTATTTCAAACGTGTTTGTCTCCTGGAGAGAGTTAGGCTTATTGTATCCATGATTCGGCATGTATCGTTCAGGCAATGCATAGACCTATTTTCCACGGAATAGAACGTTATGTGTATTAGCTTGGAGGTCAAGGATGACAAAACACGAGACATATGATCGTCGGTTCCAATCAAGATATTTCCTGATTGTGAGATTTGTAAGAACCATACCGTAATTGTGGATGTCAGTGAAGTTGGACATACACCACCACCATCAGATGTCAGTCGTTACGCTATCACGCGCGTACATAACTGAAATACAGACAGATTACCTTAAACCAACACACTATCATTAACACCAACATCGGCACCTTACTCTCCACCATTTTGTTACCTCCGTGCAGCAGCCCTTCACGTACCATCCTCCATCAGTGCATCAGCCCTTCACGTACCATCCTCCATCAGTGCATCAGCCCTTCACGTACCATCCTCCACCAGTGCATGTGCCCTTCACGTACCATCCTCCATCTAATGCACATGCCCTTTCACGTACCATCCTCCATCAGTGCACACGCCCTTCACGTACCATCCTCCATCAGTGCATCAGCCCTTCACGTACCATCCTCCACCAGTGCATGTGCCCTTCACGTACCATCCTCCATCAGTGCACACGCCCTTCACGTACCATCCTCCACCAGTGCATGTGCCCTTCACGTACCATCCTCCATCCAATGCACATGCCCTTTCACATACCATCCTCCATCCAATGCATCAGCCCTTCACGTACCATCCTCCATCAGTGCACACGCCCTTCACGTACCATCCTCCATCAGTGCACACGCCCTTCACGTACCATCCTCCATCCAATGCACATGCCCTTCACGTACCATCCTCCATCAGTGCATATGCCCTTCACGTACCATCCTCCATTCAATGCATCAGCCCGTCACGTACCATCACCCATCCGATGCACACGCCCTTCACGTACCAACCTCCATCCAATGCACATGCCCTTCATGTTCCAGCCTCCATTAGTGCACATGCCCCTCACGTACCATCCTCCATTCAATGCACCTTACTCTCCACAATTTTGTTACCTCCGTGCAGCAGCCCTTCACGTACCATCCTCCATCAGTGCATCAGCACTTCACGTACCATCCTCCATCAGTGCATATGCCCTTCACGTACCATCCTCCATCCAATACACATGCCCTTTCACGTACCATCCTCCATCCAATGCATCAGCCCTTCACGTACCATCCTCCCTCAGTGCACACGCCCTTCACGTACCATCCTCCATCAGTGCACACGCCCTCACGTACCATCCTCCATCCAAAACAACATAATCATCCATCCACATCCACAACAAAACACTCTTGCCCATCCCCATAACATGTCCTTTCTCTTTCACCTGCCCATACCAGTCATCGTATCAATTGTGTCTAAGGAGCTCCAAGCATAATCTGTCAGTAATTGCTATTGATATGTGTTTGATCAGAAATAATCACAGATTGGCAAGAACTAGATAAAGCGCTCAGCGACAATTTAGATACGTGGGTTTTGTCTCGTGTTTAACATGAATAAATCACCCCGTTGTTCGTCACGGAAGTCTGATCGTGAATGAACTGCCAAGAGGGATTATTGACGAACATATCCAAGGAAGAACAATATGAAATCTAAACCACTACACCAACCAAATGGGAGCGTCATGTACATGAACCATCAGAATATAGTACGTCTTCAGAATGTTCACAGAATCCTGTTCCTCGTATTCTCTTTGTGAATGTATGTGTGCATATTACCCATGTCGAAGATGTTCCGATGTTTACAGCAATAATGCTTCCGCAGTTGTGATACCTCAAAATATAATACGCAATCGTTAACTTTCACGTTAATCTTAAGCCTCTCGATGAAAATACGAAGTTAGAGCAAGTCCCGCGCAGGCTATACTCTCGTAAGAAGTGACTTCATGTATGTATTTTCATGTTCGGTGGAGTGTTGATTGCGCATGACTACGACTTAGGTAGTTGCTGATAATATCCGTCACTGGTGACACAGGTGAAAGGTCGTCTCCAGCAGATTCGACTAGTGAAAATCCGGGTAATAATTGCTCTTCCGCAACCCAATCCGCTTCGTAAGAGGCGACTGGCCTGATTGGTTGACTCGATTAATGATGTAATCGTATACCAATTAGATCAATGGTTATGTTGTCAATCACTGAATTCTCTGATCCCGACTCGATTATTTATAGTTCGCTGTTGCTGACAAAAAGCAAACGGAGTGATTCAGATTCAGGTTAATATGTTTGTCAACACCACAATCGTGATTGTTTATTTCATAAGTGCTTACGTGAATGAAGTGCTTATATTTCAGGTTTCCTCCCCCATCTAGGAGTGACATCACTTAGCTACCATTCAACCGAACAACCCTTTCCATAGTCATAACAAATATCTGCGGAAATCAAAGCCCATTGCACGTTTTTTACTAATTCACAAATATGTTATGAATCACTATCAGATAGTCATGATAAAAGGCATGGTCGAAAATGTTAACATATTCTGTCACACCAGTGGGACCGGTCATACACACATGCAAAGGCAAGTCAAATTTTCACCTGAAAAAGCATAGCTACAAAACACAATAGAACAGCTGGATATAAAAACAGGCTTTAGATTCCCCGGTTATTCTAACATAGATTCCCCGGTTATTCTAACACAGCGTCTTTGGCGACTTCTGCAACAATAACAGCTGTGTTAATACCTGTTAATAAAGAGGAAAGGCCGTTTCGAAAGAGGGATGCTCTAAAACAATGTTCTGTGAAAGGTTTTATGAAAAGAATATAAATTGTTTTTATAGCAGCGCACAATTAATTTCTAAATCGAAGTTTTCTTTTAAATATATATATTGCGGGAAAAAAGTAAATGTTAAAGCTGGATTCAATCAAGGCATTACAAATGATGCCTGTATTAGATACATCATCGTGGTATAACAATTTCTTGCTCCAATTCGACTACAATTGGGTTGATATATCAAAAACTCTGCTCCACAGGAGATATTGCTTGTGCGAGATCATACGAGATCTCCTAGGAGATATCGTTTTGACAGTATATTTTGTACAATGCCCTGACAATGGTATGACGTCATGAACTTGATGACGTCACAATGCTGTGACATCGCTGCACTGCAAGTCTAATGGTAGTACAGTGTTCACATTGTAAACTAATGAAGAGTGATTTTTGATGATAAATAAAATCTCACCCTCGTGTCTACTGATATCAATTATATCAATACTCGTTGATAAAGGTAAAAATATCCTCGGCAAGCCTGGGATATTTGTAACTTTATCAACTCGTGTTGATATATTTGATATCAGTAGATACATGGGTGAGATTCTCTATTTACCCGACTGTTTGTTGTATATTTTTTCAAGTTGTATTAACATTGAAATAATAGTACCAACCAAGTCTCCTTAGAATTTGATGACCCGTGAAGATCTGGGTTAGAATTGGTCTTCAGTAACCCATGCTTGTAGTAAAAGGCGGCTAACGGGGTCGGGTGGTCAGGCTCGCTGACTTGGTTGACACATAACATTGTATCCCAGTTGCATAGATCAATGCACATGGTATATGTCACTGGGTTGTCTGGTCCATATTGATGAGTGCGGTGTAAAACTCACTCACTCACACTAGAATGTGATTTTCTAATTTTAAAAAATCTTTAAAAATACTTTACTGTGCTTGTTGATTTTATGAGTAATTTAAATCTTATGCAAAGTTTTATTTCTTAATCAACGATATGTCGATACCCATCGCTTAACGTATTAACTTCAGCTCAATATAACATAACGAATTCTCGTTATCATTTGTAAATTTGATCGTGAAAAAAATAACTGATTACATTTGAACATATTCGTATCTTTTTCAAATTTCATTCGACCTGTGAAGCCATTTCGAAATCATCCTAAATAGCCGTTTGAATATAAAAGGTCAAGAATACTCCAATCAAAAGGAATATTCCACGCACATCGCCTGTGTGTGGATTAATGTTTAATATATGGTCGTGTGATGGCATCTGTCGCTAAATGCAGGGCCACTTTTATTGCGATTACGAAGATTGTTTTGGTGATGTGAAATATCTCCTACGATCATGAATGAAGATTATTTAACACTAAACTACTTTTCAGCCTTCTTTTCTAACATCCACGGCAATAAAGAAACCATTCCAAGCACTCTGATTTCATTGCCAAACTGACGTCTGCATAACCAATTGGTGGCATTACTCTTCTCGGCACCACCCCTGTCATTGTGGTGTTGTAAAATGTGCCTGGCATGCGTGAGATCACGCGCAATGACGTAATTGGGGCAATGAAGCTCCTACGCGCCTGGATTTTAATGCAATTAAGAAAGAAAAGCACATAAATATTTCAGCTTTGAAAGAAAATGTAACAATTCTGTTCAACGTTTGGTTTTAATTGCAGCGTTTAACAGTTTAGTCTAAATTACGGTTATATTGGCATCGTTTCTGGATATTTCTGAGTTTATTTTGCCTCCAAAGATATTAAGTCAGTAAACCGTGTTTAACACGCTGTGCATGTATCGCTCCCGAAAGCAAACAAATAAAGATCAAAGCGCTGAGTCTCAACTATGACATATTCTGTCTTTAAAACTTCTCAGAAACCCGTTAGATGACTCAAAAACAACTATAAAAACATCACATTATAAACTACTGCGTACAGCGAGTTGATTTTTTAAGCTTCATCTAACTTCTCCACCACTGAGGTATATGGACTTAAAGGTATTACAAATATGAATGGTGGTGTGAACTTCATCACTTCAGTTCTACAAACATTGGGACTTTGTACGGATTCCTGTGACAATAAGTACATGCTAGTCATTTAGCTGAATGAAACTATTGATCAGGCTGTCGTGACTTGACTGAATACCAAGGACCATATGTTGTCATATCAGTCTGTCGTGACTTGACTGAAAACGTGTCGTTGTAACCTGATAGCGGCTACCCCTGCCAGTCAGTGCTACACGATCGTGGTGCAGTAATCCCCTCACTAATCATCAGACACGTGTGACCTTCATCAAGTTGTTTGTATCGCCTCCCTTTCTGCTTACGGTGAAGTAGATATCTGTTAAAACGCCGCTCTGTTATCAGATGGACTTGACAAATATTTAAACCTGTCAGAGCTCCGACCACTGCATTGAATGCACATATTGACCCATTCGTTAAATAGTGGAACTCAGTGGTCAAGACAAATGATGACCTTATATATAATGGTCACTGTAAGACTGAAACCAAGGGAATATGTTTTTTACAGTATCAGGTACTCGTCAAAAGAGAACCTTGTTTACTGAAGGGTATGGTGTGCTTTTGAAAATAAACGATATTGTGGTATATCGATTCAAGGAAATTATAAGACTGAAATATTAATGATTTAATAATAATCACATGGCCGTATCGTGCTACACAAGTTGCTCACTGATTTGGTGTGCTCCGGAGCTCTCATTCCCACTGGAGACATTCTGTAAATGTAGTCAATAACCGACCGAGTCTCTGTCAGTTACAGAGTCTGCAAGTGGTCATTTTACCCAATGGAGAGTATTCCTCCCTCTTGAAAACAAGCAAAGTCCTTGGTGGTGAAAGAAACAAAGCTGATTTGATCTCCTGATCCATGTTTCATGCAAGAAGCGGATGAGAGACGAACGTGGTTGTTATTGAGATAAACTTTCATCATTTATGTTTCTCATACCTTCAGTTATTGTTGGTTCACTTTCATAAACGCTAAACAGCAAAGTCTCTACCTATCAGAATTTCCTTATGCTGAACATTCTTTTTGTGTCAAACCCTGTTTGATAATGTAAAGCCAGAACTAGTATTTACAGAAAGCCGAATGAAACATGTCCAAGTTGTTTTGAAGACCCTACTCTAAATAGGCTCATTAAAAAGGTTAAGGACACAAGACAAGATATTCTATTTTGTTTTACCAACATAATGAAAAAGGTGACTGATTCTGTTTGACCTCTGATATTTAGTCACTTTAACTAACCTATCGTATTGCAAACAAGGTTTCGCGTTGGCTCGTCACGCCGAAGACCCGGGTTCGAATTCCCACATGGGTACAATGTGTGAAGCCCATTTCTGGTGTCCCCCGCCGTGATGTTGCTGGAATATTGCTTAAAGCGGCGTAAAACCCGGCAAACAAGGTTGCACATGCGAATCTGTAGCCTAGATATGAGAAGTCCATTAGTCACTTACATTGACCAGTTATTGGACAAAAGACAAGTATTGGCAACTGAGACAACAAGGTTGATTACCATCGCAACGGGCTGAAAAGAAG